CCTTTGAATTGTGGTGCTGGAGGAGACTCCTGCGAGTCCCTTGGACCACAATTCAAAGGCCTCAATTCTTCAGCACTCAGCCTTCCTTATGGTCCAACTTTCACAGCCATACATTGCAACTGGGAAAACCATAGCCTTGACTATATGCACTTTTGTTGGCAGGGTGAAGTCTCTGCTTTTTAGTATGCTGTCTAGATTTGCCATAGCTTTCCTCCCCAGGAGCAAGCGTCTTTTAGTTTCATGGCTGCAGTCCCCATCTGCGGTGATCTTGGAGCCCAGGAAAATAAAATCTGTCACTACCTCCATTTCTTCCCCATCTCTTTGCCAGGAAGTGAGAGGACTGGATGCCATGATCTTAGTTTTCTTAATGCTGAGTTTCAAGCCAACTTTTGTGTTCTCTTCCTTCAGCCGCATCAAGAGGCTCCTTAGTTCCTCTTCACTTTCTGCCATTAGAGTGGTATCATCTGCATATCTGAGGTTGTTGCTATTTCTCCCAGCAGTCTTAATTCCAATTGGTGATTCATCTAGTCCCGTCTTTCTCATGATGTGCTCTCCATATAAGTGAAATAGGCAGAGCAACAGTATACTGCCTTGCCAAACTCCTTTCTCAATTTTGAACCAATCAGTGGTTCCATGTCCAGTTCTTACTGTTGCTTCTTGACACGCATATAGGTTTCTCAAGAGACAAATAAGATGATCTGGTATTCCCATGTCTTTAAGAACTTGCCACAATTTGTTGTGATCCACACAAAGGCTTTAACATAGTCAATAAAGCAGAAGCAGATGTTTTTCTGGAACTCCCTAGCTTCCTCCATGATCCAGCGTATGTTGGCAATTTGATCTCTAGTTCCTCTCCCTCTTCGAAATCCTGCCTGTACTTCTGGTAGTTCTTGGTCCACATACTGCTGGAGCCTAGCTTGTAGGATTTTGAGCATAACTTTACTAGCATGGGAAATGAGTGCAATGGTGCGGTGGTTTGAACATTCTTTGGCATTGCCCTTCTTTGGGATCGGAATGTAAACTGACCCTTTCCAATCCTGTGGCCACTGTTGAGTTTTCCAATTTGCTGGCAAATTGAGTGTAGCACTTTTACTGCATTGTCTTTTAAGATTTTGAATAGCTCAGCTAGAATACTGTCACCTCCACTAGCTTTGTTGTTGTTCAGACTTCCTAAGGTCCATTTGACTTCACATTCCAGGATGTCTGGCTCGAGGTCAGTGACCACCCCATCATGGTTATCAGGGACGTTAAGCTGTTTCTTGCATAGTTCCTCTGTGTAATCTTGCCACCTCTTCTTAATCTCTTCTGCCTCTGTATATTTGAGCTGAAACATTTGAAGAAAAAATGAGATATACATAATGTGATGTAAATGCTATAGTATGTGGAAAGTTACGTTAGAATAGTTCCAAAAAATTAAATACAATAGCATGCACTTCCCTAACATTGTTTAAATTTAAGGAAAAAAGAGATTCTGAGAACTGCCAACATACTAATTAATTTTAGCAATTCAGTGAACTGTGCATATGTTTGCAGCAGTCTTCTTCCACTAAGGTTGTTGAAGCACCTTCAGTTTTGTTGTCACTATTGATTAGTTCCATTTTACTCTAAGACATGTATGTATTTCAGTGACATATATGCATTCTCTCACATAATTACAACTTTGAAACTGCCAGTGTTGCCTAATACTGCATCTGTGTTTGGCATTCATTCATTGTTACTAATAAACTTCCGTAATGGAAAATTTGCTATGGGAATATAAAACAATGGGAATTATTCTACCCAACATCACCACTGACAGTACATCTGGGTATTTTTGTTAGCCTGTTTTTTGTGCCAGTGGCATAACTTGTGTTATGCGTGTGTAGAGTTTACATTGAATTCTTTAACATTTCAGCTGGCAGATCTTCAGTACAGTATTACTTCCTAGCTATCTTCTGCTGCTATTCTTGTTGTAGTTAATGTGACGAAAATGAAAAATAGATGTAAATGCTAACTACTGTGCACATTCATAGGAAAGTATGGGAAATGTATACAAATAGTTTCCCTTCACATCTTGTTAATCAAGTTGTATTTTTCTTATGGTATTAGAGATTGTGCATATATTGTGCATTATTATGAGATTATTTTGTAGAATTTTCTATCCTTACCTATAGTCTCCATTTTGTAACTGTATTTTAGTTGGTCTGCATATCAATAGGACAATGTGCAAAATTTCTTGTTTATGCTGTCAGTTGTTTTGTCTGAGAATCTTCACGTGAATGTACTTTTTCATTGGTGTTTATGTGCACTGTTCATACAACTCACATTTATTGCTACAATATAATGTTTTATAGGACTTGGTAAAAGTATTTCTTTCCATAGGACAGTAATAATCTGGAAAACATCCTCTCTGTCAGGCAGAAATGGTATCAGTATAAAGAGTTTTATCATAAAAAATAATAACTGTAATCCTGGTTATTGACTTCATATTTGCTGAGGGCATTTAATTAAGGCATTTTTTATCTTAGGAAAGCTATTACTTGTAATTTGGTTTCTTCCCAATAAACAGATTCAAAAATATTTTATTTATGATGACAGTCATTCACTGGAGTTTGTGCTAGTTATACTATTTGTACTTGTTTAACTTCATCATTATTTTGTTTTTACCGTAACTTGTGTGCTTGCTGGATTTTATTGTAATGTAATTTTAAAATTTTATTATTTTATTCTATAAACCAAACAATTTCTGTTGTATAAATAGTATAAATAAATACAGTATCTCAATAAATATATGATCAAATGGCACCTCCATACTTTATGATAATTATCATGTGACAAAAATAGGCAATGTTTTTAATCAAATTTAGAAATAACAGTTGCAGACAGACATGAATACTTACTACACTGTGATCAAGTATTGTGTATTATACTTCTGTGAAACCTCTTAGAATTTACCTGTGTAATCCTTTAATCAGTGTTAAGACAAGTTACTGAACTGTAGTATTTTGTTGTTACCTGTTGTGGGTTTATATTTATTAGTTATCCAGATTAGCATGAAATCTATTCTTAATGGAACCAAATTTTGCTAAAAGAGCTACGGTTGAGCTATACTGATTCACAACATGGTGATTTCTTTAGTAAGACACATAGAAGTCTTTGACAAAATATCACAGATATTTGGCTAGTGACTCATGTTTCAGAGTCCTAAGAGAGGGTTGCAGAAGTTACAAAGATTTGTCCCTATCTTTTATCATGTATAGAACCAGTATTCATAAAATGGAGTACATCAGGGTATTGTTTTCCATAAAAGTACTTACACTCATGAAAAAGCTCTTTGATAAAGAGGAGATATTGGTTTCAGGGGCACCATTTCAAACTCATTCATGCTCAGAGATTTCTTGAAAAGACTTACTGTATTTTATAGGCCACACACACATGATTTCTGTTGAAAGAATCTTTTATTTATATACAATTGTCACTAGTACAGTTTGGATGTACTGCTGTGATGTTCATTCCAGATGTTTAAGTTTATAATCACATATTCAAAATTTAATAGTAAGATAAAGTTTATACAGGTAAAGATCCAAATAGTCTTGTGAGTTAGTGTAAGCACTTGGCATATAAGAAAAGCTGCACCAGGTTTTCATATTCCATCCCGAGCCTCCATTTCCCCACCTTATATTACTTATTTGCAGCATAATAAAATATGAGCTGCCCACCATTATCTCATGATTTCTTCTCTAATAATCACACTGTATTTAGATCTCTTTGGTGTACATGTGAATTTGGTATTCTTTTTGTTTCAGTTTACAGACACTAAGTTTTCTTAAGTGCCATCTGCCTTGGATAGGGATGGTGGAGGAATCTGTTTGGAGATGGGAATCTATTGGATTCCCTGGGCTAAACTCCCCAGACTCCAAACTCCATCAAGGCCCATGCTCTGTTCAAGCAGTGTCCCTATCCACTGTGCACCACTGCCAGCAGCAGAAAGAGAATGGGAATGGTGGCTGGTGCACTCACAGTGCCCACTTTCTGCATCCTGCAGCCACTCCTGATGAGCAAGGTTGCCACTTGTGCAACTGGGGTTCCATGAGCATTTGCAGACTTCCACTTTGCTCAGCTTGTTTTGAAGGACTGGTCCAAGCATGAGAAGTCTACGGTTGCTAGAGGGATGGGTTTGAAAGGGTTCCTCTCAACCCTAATCTTTGAGTGTTCACATAAATGGAACTCCTTAGAAATATGGAAATAGCTTTCATAGAGCATATGCATCCAGTTTTTTTACAGTTATAAGTTGATGATTAAGCCCCACTACATTAAAACACCCACGGCATGTCATTGGTAAAATGTTATTGTTGTTAATATGATTCGTACTACAGTAAAACCTTGGATTTTGAGTAACTTGGTCTGCGAGTGTTTTGAAGATGAGCAAAAAGTTTTTCTAAATTTTAACTTGATAAACGAGCAATGGCTTGCAGTACAAGTATTACGTGCGCTTTGCCTGGCGAGCGTCACAATACCACTGAGCGCTGGTTCTTCTCTCTCTCGCTGCGGGTGTGAGTCCAGCATCATCTTCCCCCCCTGATTGCGCCCGCGATCGCGCGTCTTCCACCCGTGATTGTGCCCACCCCCACCGAGCGTGCTCGCGATCGTGCCCATCTCCCCCCTCCGAGCGCACCCGCTTCAAATTTTTGTGATTAAAAAAAAAGTTACAGAACAGATTAACCTTATTTTCCTTATGGGGAAATTTGCTTTGATATACAAATGCTTTGGATTACAAGCGTGTTTCCGGAACGAATTATGCTCGCAATCCAAAGTTTTACTGTATTTGATAATGTTGCATACCTTGCTGTAAAGAATTAAGTATTTATTTTTAAATGGTTCAAAATGTTTGCTTTTCTTTTTGTTTTAGCATGGAACAGTGTCTTAAAGAGCTACAATTGGAAATAAATGAGATGTGTTCTGATGAGTTGCTACAGGACACAGCTGACTGTCTGCAGTGGTTAAATAATTGCAGTTTCACCTCACTCAAGCCTTCTTTAACACCTCATGGAGAATTGATCGAATTTCTTCAGACACTGGTGAAAATGCTATTTTATGTCATAGCTTGAAAATGATTCCCTGATTTTAATACACTATTTTCTGTGTTTCATAGTTTGTTGTGAATGCATTTCAGATGGGTAGTGTTGGCTTATTGGTTACTCTTTTTGCCTATTGTATATTCATGGACATATATTACATAAAATATATGATATAAGATAAAGGAATCTGTAGTTGCCATACACATTTTGAAATTGGACAACTCAGTTGCCCCAATTAACTTTCTATTTGCTAGCATTTTTTAAAACCATGCTGAACTCAATTATACGTAATGGGAAGAAGCTATTACAAGATCAGAGTTCTAGATTCTGATAATGGGTTAAAGCCAATATCAGGCCAGTGGACTTTCACCAGTGCAAGAGGACCGTCTCTTTTTTTCCTCCCCACCCCATCCTTTAGGGGCATGCAGGGGAGAAGAATAATATGTTCTGCAAATAAAGTGTATTCTGCTGGCAGAGAGACATTGTTGAATACAACCTGTTCAATATATTTGTTTTGCAAAGACTGAATATATTTTGATTTGTGATCAAACAAGGTAAAATTTGTAATTGGATTGGTTAAGAAGACTATGTTCCATAAGATTACTTCAGGAATCCTTAGAATTTTCAATGTAACATTTGAGGAAATTAATGAATGTATTCAGTTACATTATTAAAGTTATTATTGATAACATATTAAGTGATTAACATTTGTAAAATTGTACTCTATATAAGCATCTAGGCTAAGCTGACTTTCGTGCTTACTAGTAGCAAAATACACTTGTGAGAGACATACAGTCTGCTCTAAAAGATCTGGTGACCACCATTTTGGATCTGCTTCTTCTGAAAGGCAGCAGCAGCACCGTTTGAAGCTTTCAAAAACTTTGACTTTCAAATACAAAAGCCTGTCTTAACATAGGCAGTGTTCAAAAAGACTTTGAAATATGAAACTAAGCTTGCAAAGCTTCAAAGTCAGCTGCAGGGACTCATCTTTTAGGAGTACCAACTCCAAGATCGCTTGTACAAGCATGCTAGTGACCATTTTAGGAATATATTTTCAATTTGAAAAGACTTTGAATGCTGCTTAGGTTTAGATAGGCTTCTGTAATTGAAAATGTTTCCATTTAAACTTCAAAAGCAGCACTAGGAACTTCCTTGTGGAAGACACTTTTGGCTTTCTTATTCCAGGATAGTGAAACCTATTGGAAGGCTTGGAGAGTTATTAAGTACTTGTGCTATTTTTCATAAAATGGCATGTTTTACAGTATCATAAGAAATTAAGATTTGTTTAAACATTGGATTTCTTATAGTTGTTCATATGGCCAGAAGGTTAGGAAAATCATTTCTATGAACTGCAAATCACAGTTGAAAACATTTTGATGGGTTTTTGTCTGTAAAATTAATATACCATAGACACATGAAGATGCCCCTATTATATAAAAATATAGTACTGAAGGATGGATCCAGACTTGGAAATTAAATTGAAATAATGGTATAAGTAAGTTATGACTAACAAATTCCATTTAATTCTATGGTTCTACAGTAAGCCCAGGTATTCAATCATGGAAATTGCTATCAGCTATGTTTCACAGCTGCTAAAATGTTTCATTATATTTGCTTGCATTGTCAGAAGGCAAAGACTTATCATGCAGGCAAAAGGTATTTTGTAAATTGGGTCCTGATAAGTTTTTCAGAAGCTCTTATGTGTCATTGCTAGGACAGTCACCATTACATTTAGTGTTGCAAGATATTCTAGCATTTCAAACTGCTATCTTAATTTTTGGCAGCCTATACATTTTAAGTGTGTTAATGTGTGCGTATTGCTATTCATTGCAATCTTATGTTTCACTAAACTGTGTATCTTCAAGAAAGCTGCTTCTGTACCTGTTAACCCAGAGTCTGAGGTCTTAAAACCAAATTCATTTAGGTTGTTTATATGCAAGTGTATAAATTGTATAGATGGTAGACACATATTGTGGGTTAAAGTTTAATTAGTCCATCAAAATATCATACTTGTAGTGTCTCGGAGCATTCTTTTGATCTAATAGGTTGTTGTTGCAAGTTGACCTCAGAGAGAACCAAGAAACTCCTTATATGGAATGAATAATATTAACTTTCTAATCCTTGAAATTAAAACCCATTACTCAGAAATAAACCACACTGAATTTTATTACTCATTCTCAAGTAAGTGTATATACAATTGCACTCTAAAATTACATTTCTTCTTTCTCTCCCCCCCCCCCCCACACCTTTATCAGGAAAGATATTTGGCTTAGGTGTTAGAAAAAAGTTGGCAAAATACAATGTCTGTATTGGAAACATTCCTTTTGTAGGTAGTCATTAACAATATTTCATATCATTAAATGTATAATTACTTACTTTAAAGAGAGTTATATAATATCTTAATATACTATTATTTATCCTTTCTTAGCAAGGCTTAATGAAGAATGAACAAAACCAAGAAGAAATTATTCTTCACTTCCTCCTTGATCTCTCTAGTCAGTGTGGTGTCTTATTCCCGTGTACTCCAAGTGGGGCATCTTTTGAATTTACCTCTGGTGCTTCCCTTCATGGTATTGAAGATGATTCTGCAATGGATGTTCAATGTATTTGGGATGATATAAGGTTACATCTACGGCGCTTCTTAGTAAACCAGTTACAAAATCATGAGGAAGCAAAAACTGGTACTTTACAAGAGCAATTGCACTTTAAAACTCGATGTCTACAGCAGCTTTTATTTCTTTATCCTGAGTCAGAAGTTCTAGCCAAATATCAAAATATGCAGAATAAATTGGTTAGTGATCTTTTGCAGAAATGTGTTCTAGAAAGCAGTGGAGAAACAAACTTTGAAAAGATGGTTCATGGTTATGAAAGTTCAATTCCTGCCATGTGTGCAATGATAAAAGAAGATTTGTATATACTAAGTGGAATTATTGATTCTCCTTCAACACTGAAGTTTATTAATGAAACTTATTTGGATACCATCACTGAAGAAATGACTCTTCTTCTTGAAACACTTTGTGAGCTTCAGTTTAAAGAAAATGCATTACATGGTGTTAAGGCAAGCAAGAGCTTAAAGAAACACAGAAGATTAGCTCCTGTTGGGGGTTAGTGGCATTTTATTTTATGTTCATTAGTTGTTTTATTTGCATTTCTCCTTTAATTTCTCTTACAGGTATTGGGTGCAATAACTATTTCCTGCAAGTACAGGTTTATGATGGCTCCAAACTTGAAGGGTCAAGCCTTGTGCAACACAGTGGTTACATTCAGACATAGTGCTAAACCATGTTGTGTGGTTACCAAGCAGTTACCACATGGTGTCATTTCTTACCTGGTTGTTTGGTTCAGACTATCATATTCTTTCCATGCTTGCATGATTTTTACCTTCTACCATCATTCCTCCTAATGGCAGGTATCCTATCAGCCTCTATTGCTGAAATTTAATCCCATGGTATACTGATTTTACATTACTTGCTTCTCTCTCATTGGCCCACACACTCCCTTGGGTATATCCTTAGTCAGCTATTCTTGTTTTTGTTTTTCTTTTGCTTAGTCAAAGCAGCCACTTACTTACTAGAGTAGCACTCCCCTGTGCTGCCATGCTTAATGCCAAAATATAAGCATACCCACCCACATCTTTTCCTCACCCTTCCCTTCCTGCACTATGTCCACTGTTGCCTGAACTCACTTATGCTACCATGGGGACACAGGTCATCAGTGCAGACTGTGCCCTCCCCGTCCCATCCTGTGCCATGACTGCAGGCAGCCTTGTTCACTATCCCACATCCCCATCTTTAGAAGAGGTTCCATGTTGTGAGAGGCCTCATCTGGCACTGCCCCTAACCGCTCCACAGCTGGCCCTCCCCATAAGAGCCACTCCACTGTTGCAAACCATCTTTATTTCTTAAGTGTAATGGGACTCGGATGCAGGGAAAGGGTTTCTCTGTGCCAGAGAGGAAAGAGTTCCATATGTTGATAAATATAAGTCTCTTATGCCCTACAGCTGTGCCCCCTACCTCCCATAGCACCCTTCCCCAGATGCCTTCTCTTCACTATGTTTAGCACTACCTACTCCCTGACTGCACAGACATATGCCTACACGTCTACTTGCATAGCTATCTTGCAGCAATGCACTAGGGGCTTCAAGAGCCAATGGGGTGGGGGGGATCTATGTCTCAGTCAGCACTCCCATGTCTCTTTGTGGGCTGGGCACTCTTAACACTCAAACTGCCCAGAGGACTTCAGCTACAGGAAGTATAAAAATGAAATAACTAAATAGTAACATGGCTACTGCTGGGAAACTCAGAAACTCATCCACATTCCTTAATACTGGCATCTCCAATGGCATTTCAATTTGTAGTTCAGTATCCAATGCTATTGGCAGATACTTGGGATAGCCCCACACTGGCAAAGGAAAGTAAATTGATAGCAGAAGTTTCATAAGAGGAAACAAGGCAGGAAGAGCAAGCAGGGGAAACTACCTCTTGTGGAATTGTTTGGAAGATTACTTTAGATTGTTGCCTTACATAGACAAATGAAGGAATAGTTTTTGTGCTAAGAAATTCTCTAGACTTGCTGAGATTCTGTTACTCTACAGGTTAGTCAAAATTGAAACAACCTTATTCTTTGCTTAAATACACATTATGCTGTTTAATCAAGGGCTTTATCTTGAATGTGTTTTTGTTTGTAGTTGCTAAATATCATTCTAAAATACGTCAGTTAAAAATGCCATACAGATTGAACATAGATAAGGGAAAGAAACACCCTGTGGATGTCTGTAGCATTTTAATTTAATTTTTAATACTTATATTTAACATAACTCTCCAACAATTTCTTCGCAACAACATTTTGACTTGGGTTTGCAATTTCATTTTTTTGTATGAATGTTCTGAATGTTTTCTACCTGGAAAAGCCTATGATGAAAAATTCCAAAATGAAACATGAGATAGTACCAGGAGATGACACTCCAAGGCATTCAGCCAACTACTGGGGAAAAGTAAGGATATGTATGAGTAAGTGCTATTATTAATAATACAGTTAAATTAAATCTAAAGGAATTGTAGCGGCTGACATGCACAGAAGTAAAAGGAATGTCCAGTGCTTCACAGCTCATACCAGCAGAACATGGAACATGAGAAGTGTGAATCAAAGCAAACTAGAAACCATAAAGCAGGAAATAAAATGGTGAAAATGGCAGTACTTGGTGTGAGAGAACTAAATTGGAATGGGATGTTTTCAGTCAGACACACTGAGTTTTAGTCTAAAAATTACAAACTCAGAAGAAATGGATTGGTTCTGATATTGAGGCAAGATGTAACACAAGCAGTAAAAGGCTATCATGCAAAGTCCAACCAGGTCATATCAGCCAGAATTCTTGGAAACCCTATCAATAACCATCACTCACCAAGACACTCCTGTTGGGTGTGTGCAGAATGTGCCAGAATGTGCACAAGCAGTCCGTAGCTTTGATGGGAATTCAAACTCAGTCAAGATGAAATTGTGGAATCTCAGCAAGCTCCAGTATTAGCGTGCTTGCGCAGGAGGAGAATTGGGCCGCATGACAACTCCTATAACAGATACTAAGAAAAAGAACTTGAAAATTTTATGCAGGTATCCAAGAGGAAATTGATAACACATCAAAACAAAACATGCCGATTATCATAGATAACTGGAATGTAAAAATAGAAAGCCAAGCAGAATCAAATGTTGTGGAAAAATTTGGCTTACAAGTCAGAAAAGAAGCAGAAGAACAATTCATAGAATACTGTGAAGCCAACATTCTGTTTATTGTGAACACATCTTTAAGTCATTTGATCAGTTGGCTGTATACACCAGCTAGACAGTATAGAAAGCAAATAGACTATGTAACTGGAAGTAGGAGATGAAGAATCTGTATCCTTACTGCCAAACAAGACTGGGAACAGATTGGCAAAATCTGTCACTCTAGTATTTGCATGCTTTTACTTGTGCCTGTTCTGGTTTTACAAGCTGAACCAAAGGGAAGTCAGTCAATGCTTGTAGAATAAAGGTTCTACAAACAGCAATGCTTGTAACATGAAAGTTGTACAAATGGAAACCAGCAAACATTGCTAACAGATTGAATGGAAGAGGGACATTGCCTGTCCACTCGTAGTGAAACATACATGAACAGCCATCTTTCACACCAGGTGCAGCAACCCAGATAGCTGCTACACATTGGGAGGAAGAGATGCTCCCTGTGCTCATGCATGGTTGAACAGGAGAGAATACTAGCAGTATTCATTTTCTTCACCAAATGTAGCAGCCATTTGGACTGCTGCAGGTGGAGTGAAAGAGGAACTTTGCTTGTGCAGCATTTTGGGCTTGATTCCTGGCAAGTGCAGCACAAATGCTGCATGCATTTGTCCGGAATTTCCTACACCCAAATGGATTCCTCACACATACCTAGTAGTGACCAGGAACTATTAATATCAAAATTCCAAGTAAAGCTGAAAAAGATCACAAACAGAAGCGTAGTACCAAAATACAACTTAAATAACATTCCTGAAAATGTAAAGCTCTCATACAAACAAATCTGCCTTACTAAGTTCATGGAAGTTGAAAGGGTAATACATTTCCTAGTTGCAGCTTTTTTTAATCCTACTTTTCAGAACATCTTAACAATGCTATGACATAAAACAGCTCCTGCCCACAGGATTGTCATTTGAAAGGTATCACACACATGTGCACGCACGCACGCGCGCGCGCACACACACACACACAGAGGATTAGGAGGGAGAGGGTAAAAAGCAAATCTAGGGACTAGATTCTTAGCTGCAAAGTTCAGCAAGCCATGGAGTTAGATTTAAACACAGTAGAAAAGCTGCTTCTTTACAAACCTCAGCAGTAGCAATTGGTGGTGGTGGGGGGGGCTCTCAGGTGGAGTGGTAACCAGTTACAATAGAGGGGTGCCTAACTGCTTCTTTCTTTCTGTCTGACTGCCTCAGTAATTTACAGCTGCTGAAACTTCCTCACATATTGTTGGGAAGTGTTATTTCCCACTATAATATACATTGCTTAATCCTTCTGAGTTGCTAAAATTTGTTCAATTATTTTTTTTAAATAGCAGGTTAATTTCCCACCTACTTCTTTCCTCAAACATTATTTTGTAGGTTCAGAAAGCTTACAAGTGCTTGAACTGTAATTTGTTTTTGTTCTCTTAAAATAATCATTTAGTTTACAAATTAATATGATTTGGCATAACTGATGATTCCTTCCAGTATGCAGAAACCAATTCCCTATTTCTGAGTTCTCCACCTTCACTGTCAATGAGAAGGAATGATCTTTATCAGTTTATCAGATAAGTACTTGCTAAAAAAATCCAAGAAAGTTAAAACCTGGGGAAAACTGTGGGTTTACTGTTGTGCTGTAAAACTAATGTGATGTTCAGTACTAAATATAGGATGACCATTGCTTTAAAATGAAAAGAGAAAAAATAACATCCATTATAATTACCCTTAATATTGAGGGTTTCCAGCAACCTGTCTGTTTCTGAGACCTGTTACAATTGCGCAGCATTGGCAAAGGAATGACTATTTCCTGCTGAAACCAATGCTGAAGATAAGAAAATGCTATTATTTTATCTTACCAGTAACCTTTGTTTTGATTCAGGGCACAATTAGTAAGTATATAAAAGGGGAAAAATTCAACCCTTTTTAGCTGAGAGAGTACTTTCAGTACATTTCTTATGTATTAGTTGAAACCTGTTTGTGTCCTCTGGGAGTCAACAAACCAGCAGTTTTGGCAAAACAATTCGCTAAGCAGCATTGTGGCACATTGTCATGGTTAGACTTCTTCCTGAAATGTGTAAATCCACAGATTAAACAAAAGGACACAATTTTTAGATGAATTTCATTTTAAATAATTGTGTCTCATAGTGCTGTATCGGGTTCTGAGTTTACGGTATCTCATCTCCCTCCCTCTCTCAGAGCTTGGTCTGATGTAGCAGGGGTCATCTTGTTCATTTATTACATCCTTATGTTCTTATTCCTCACCCTCCTTTTCACTCACCAGTGCCTTCCGTTTGCACCAAGAAATCACGGGAGGAATTTCCTTCTCCAGATAGGCAGGGCAAGAAAGCATGCTTTGG